AAGGGCTCTGCGGGCGTCCAGCAGGGCAACCGAGGTCGATGATATCCGTCGTTTGTGTTTCGAGCTTGAGGCAGGGTCCGACGTTGTTTTCATCGATATCTGCATAGCTTCCTCAATTTGCCTCCAGTGTTCATTAAGTCCTTCGGCTGGTGGTTAAACTGACAGACGGGACAAATGCTACCACTAGATATCAGCCCACGATGTAAAATGGAGGTTTCCCGGAAAATAAACTACCTCAAAACATTAAAGACCTCCCGACCGGTTGACCTTTCCTTGTCAGGTTTTATGGATGGAGGATTAGCCTTGGTATTGGAGTTAACGAAACTCCTGAGAACAGTACGAGAGAGGGAACAGTCTCCAACAGAATGGTATGAGTTGGTCATCATTCCCATTTACAAGAAAGATGATAGGTACTCTTGTGAAAACCTCAGGGAAATTAGTTTTATCAATATTGTCTCCAAATTTCCCTCTGGGATCATACTCCGCCGACTGTCTGCTGCACGTGAACAGTGCCCGCATGAGAACCAGGCCGGTTTTATATATGGCCGCGTGTTGCAAACAGTGGTACTTGTGCACCTACTCATTATTCTTGCAACCCCAGTGTTTGTGACTTCTCTATCTTCTCTTTGACTCTGCTCTTAACATTGAAATCTTCATTCCACTCTTTTATCCGAATGGACAGCAAATTAAACCGGCGCATGAGAATTGGTAGTTGCAAAAACTAAAACTGAAACTCAAGTAAAAGTGAGTATACACAAAATGAGATTATGCAAGCGGGGATATTTTTCTTCGAGTTGGAAATATAGGAGCGATCTAAGTTTGAACACGAAACGTCGTTTTTCCTCGTGAAATGTGTCTCCCATCGTCTTGTAATAGAGTTCTCCTTCTTATCCCATTGATGTGGCTGAAACGATCGGGGTAAAATCTTGGTTGCGAGATCAGCTGCATCCGGTTTGTGCAATTGAGATATATGGAGAAAATAATTCCCGATTGTTCTTCGATTCGTTATTTTCACGCTAGTTTGATTTCATTTCCTCATGAATCGTTCTATAGAAACATGAAAATAACAGTATTCTTTTCTGAAGTGATTGATTTCACTATTCCGTACAGTTGCGGATACTGACTTATCACTTCCCATTTGAGGTAGATGAGTTTTGAGTAAGGGAAATCAAGGCTATCACAAAGGCAGCTGTTAAAAGCGAGGCATGAAGAAATGCCGAGAGCGATTAGGTAGAACAGGCGTCTTCCTTCTCTCAGGTTGGAATCCAAGGTACTCTGCGTAGTTGGTCGGAGACGATGAGGGGGATGGCAGCGATCTGACTGCAGTGACATTTTAGTTGCTATTTGCATCAGACCGGAATACTTAAAAAAGTGTGAATGCTCGATTAGACTATGTGATTTGTCTGTTAACCATAGCGGTTCACTTTCCTTTTGTCAGCCTCAAAACAGGCCCACTACTCAGCTACCTTACACACTTTTCAAGTACTTTGTCTACATTGTGAGCTGGGAAATAATCTGTGGAGTTTACTTAATGGTATTTTGCTGCATGTGGATGTCATTGATGGTGAGTGACTGATATTAAAAACGGTTCACATTTTTTGTCGCTCATCTTTTCCCCTATTCATGCCATCCCTGCTCTGTCCACTTCTTTCCGAAACGAGGTATGAATCAATTCAAACCGTTATTCCTCGGTCAAAAAACCGCTGCCACTTCCGTCCAATTCAGTCGACTGCGTCGCGCAACAAATTCGCAACCGTGTATCCGATTGGGTGGCCGGCATGATGATCTGAATGATGTGGGCTACGATCGCCAGCATCACACCATGTTCGAAATGTTGGGCAGCTGGTCGTTCGGGGACTATTATAAGGTCAGATCCGATAGAAAAACTACGGCTAGCGATAATGTTTTAATGTAATGCTAGCTAAGAGCTACTGATCGCATTTGACAAATTGCCAATTTGATTTGGTATTGTAATACTTGGTGGTAAGTGCCAGTCAGTTCTTGACAAATCTTTGTCAGGGAAGGTAAATGCGTAACAACGTATGCCATTTATGTTGCTAAAGGTTCGCCCCGACTCGAAGTTCGAGCGAATTTCTGGGCTTCTTCGATTTTGTTCCATCTCTTCTGAACCAGTCTAATAACTACCCACATGTACAGACCCGACTTGGAGGGCACAGACAAAAAGCCAATCAGAGGAAGCTTGTCACCTGTATTAGACGGGCATTGTTATTCGACATCTGTGTGGTCTTTCTCTGGTGTAACCAATGCAAAAAAATATTCCGACCCGATAACTGATTCAGTAGTGGATCATAATTTGTTCATTACAGGAGGAGGCTTGTCGGTTCATGTGGAACTTTGTGACCAAAGTTCTGGGTCTACCAACAAACGCGTTGTATGTGACCTATTTTGGTGGATGTCCAAAATTGGGATTGCCCGCAGATGACGAAACACGTGACATTTGGTTACGGCTTGGGTAAGTTCGTTCTTCATGTTTGTGCCCAATTCATAGCATACTGCCAATTTTCGCGTAGATTAGTGCTAACCTTGAATACGAAATCGAACACCATTCCACTGCTTTGTCGTTTTTCGTGTGTTTTAGCCTAGATACCATTTTTCAGTAGCCAACTGATCTGACTAACAATCAGGTAGTTTCTTGAAACTGTAAGCATCGTACACACCAATGGAATGTGAAAGTTGTTGCAATTACTGTAGGTGAGAAAATTCACGAGCACTGCTATTTTTTGGCGTCTTACACTGGTTCCAGTATGGTCGTAGATGGCTCTGATTTCACCCAGATCACTATCACGCTTGTTCTACTGAGTTCCTTCGTGGTTCACCGTCCAAAGTCCCAGGATCACGGGTTTCTTTTCGCACTACCAATCATGACAGTGCACAATCACATACACTCTTGGTTTTGTCCGGGAAATTCAAGACCGCCAAATGTCTGTTGTGGCAATGCCATTATATTGCTATTATTATTGAATTTCACACCCATCTGAGTCCACACTGTGTGCCAAACAAATCACAGTACAGTAGTGTAAAGATAAAAGTTCCATTATTTGCTAGTAGGCGGGATACTGCGGGGTTGCCCAGGCCAACGCAGGTGAATTTTCTAGTGGGACTCACAGTTATAGCCTTTGGCTAACCAAAGCCTAACACGCAAGGCAGCCTTGCGATGGGTGTAATGCGCAAACCATTAGAGGTCTGTATCCAGTTCATCGGATCTTACACCATTTGGACGGGGTCAAGTGTCCAAGGTGCCCAATAAACCCTGATGCCCAATCTAACCGGTGATGACTGCCACAACCGGGAAGATGTGTGTGGTTCTTACGCCCCCTCTTAGTTGGTTTGGAATCAGGGTTTTTGGCCAACTCCCCCAGGTGAACTACCAGTGGTCCACCAACCCGGTTATAGCCCCGGATGCTGGCTATTCATCCTCACATGAACAGTGCACGCGTGAGAACCAGGCTGGCTTTAGACCTGGCCGAGGTTGTGTACACCTCATTTTCATCTTCAGCGAAATTTTAGAACACAGACACTCCGTTCGTAGACCCACCACCTCTATCTTCCTCGGTCTCAAAGCAGCTTTGGATCCAGTCGATCGCTCTAAACTCTGGCGCTTCCTCTCTCTGAAGGGTGTGCGTGAAAAGTTAATTTCAGTTTTGCAATCTGTTTATACCAACAGCCGAAACGGAATCCAAGGTTACGGCACTTTTTCGCCCGAGTCCATCGCCGAAAGTGGTGTTCTTTAGGATCGCTCTCGGTTTCTGTTTAACTTTGCCATAGATCAAGTTATTGAAACAGCCCCTTCGTCGTGCGAGGATGGTGGCATCTATTTGCTCTGATCTGGAATATGCGGACGACATTGTACTGATAGATGAAAATCCAGTTTAGTTATGAGCTTTTCTGGTTTGTTTAAGTGCTGGTGCAGCCATGTTCGGCATTCGTTTCGCACCTTCAAATTGTAATATTTTGCTACAAGATTGGGTTGGTCTAGCCTCCACCCTCACTCGAACTATGGAGGTGTTAGAGAAAGTGGCCTAATTTTGTTATTTGGACAGCTGTATCTCACCTGGTGGAATCATCATAGATGAAGTGTCTTCTTGCCTATAGAGTAATAAAGGCTCGATTGACATTTGTCAACTGTGGCGCCGTTGCGGCTGTTCATGAAGGGTCTAGTGTAGCGGAAGTTAGGCCAGAGAGTTACCCACTACGGAAATAGGATAAAAATAGTCTGTCGGTGTTCGAACACTGTTGTCTAAGTCTCATTGCATGAATCTGGTGGTACAACCGGACGAGCCTTGGTGTTCCCGTAATGGTCAGTTTTCTGCACCGTATAGCATTACTGGCCGAGCTGCTGCAGCCTATACTCACTGAAGCAAGTGGTTACCCTCCGTTGACTGCGATGGTTGGAAGATTTGTTACGCATGTCACGAAATAGGTTGCCACGGCGCGCTTTGTTTGCCAAGGCAGGCAGCGGATGGAAAGTCGTCAAGGGCGGTCATAATAAGACCTAGCAGTAACGGTATGAAATCTCTAACCGAAAAACTGGGTCATATAGATCAGTTTAATATTTCTGGATGGGGACTTCAGGATCGATGTAATCGATGGTTAGAGGCACTGAGTGACATGTCTGTGTCGTAAACAGTGGCGCTCGTGCATTTCAACTTCTTTCCAACCTTAGTCTGTCGGACTTCTCCAATTTATCTTCGACACTGGTTTCAACTTCCCAATCTTCCTTCTTCCGTTTCACCAAAGGGTGTAGTCCAAAGACAGAAACCAAAACCGGCATGCGAATGTGCATTGCAATGCTTGTACAAACTTAAAACTGAAAGTGATGCACTGGTGTAGAGCACAGTAAGATGCGAAGTGACAGTCTCATGCTGTAGGTTGCATAATGTCACTCGTGCAAAGTGGTCCTGAGAGTCCTGGACAGCTGCCTCGACCAGGCTATGATAGTGTGTAAATTTTGGCTTTATTGATAACTGACCTTCGTGGTTCATCGATTGATCCGTTAGAAATCATTTGCGCTACTGCGATATGAACGCTCGCGCTAGTCACGTGACGACCAATCGGACTAGCGGTGTGCTTTTCCGGATAGCACTCACCAAGCACGTGTGAGGCCTGAAAGCGTGAATCGACGTCCGCAAGTTTGGTCACCTAATTAGGTCAACAGGCATGACGACGTCACATAACTACATGCATATGTAGTATTCCATTTTGCCTGTTCGCCGAGCTTGGCAATTTATTGCAAACTTTTCATCAAAAACCTAGGTGACATTATCAGTGCTTGTGAAGTGGAAGTGTTCTGCTTGTATTTCAGAATCACTGGTGATGTCAACTCTGCTGGTGATGAAACGTTTGCAAACAGATTGCCAAGCTCGGCGAACACGCGAAATGGCATTTAGTTCACGAGAACCGATTTTCAATACTTTGTAAACATGTATATAGTATATATAATTACCCACCGCGACACATTTATTGGAAGTTTGGAAACGAAGTACCGTGCAGTCCTCCTTCTCCCCGACTCCAAACTTTCCTGAGTGAAATTTTCAATCGACTGACTGATCAGAATGTTTGTTGTTAACATTATTTTTGGACACCTGTCCAATGGATCTTATTTACCTTTTTTGCACTGTTGTTGCGGCATCGAAATTCGCCTTATTTGTTGTTCAGTTCATTTAAATTTTTTCCTAACTCATGATTTCCCATAGGTTCTGTTCATTGAGCACAATATAAGAAGCCCTTTCTACATGTTCTGAACATGTATTCGGCAGACTGGTTTTATCACGATATATTTCACTGTTATTGTGTCTCCTCTTGCTACCTACATACCAATTCCATGGTTAGTGTGATGGATCAGAAACTATTGCCGTTCGGCATGGAGCACAATTTCTGGCGTGCTGGACACGCTAGTGGTGCCGGTTTGTGCGGTCCGTGTACCGAATTGCACGTCGATTTCCACGCGTTGCACAATTCCGATGGTTTACGTTGTGCCCGATGTCTGATCAATACGACCACGCCGCAAGTGGTCGAGTTGTGGAACACAGTGTTTATCTCGCATCGTATGAAAAATGTCGAGGATGGACGACTCACTCGGGATGCCCTGGAGCCGTTACCCCAACGATTTGTGGATACCGGTATGGGGTTGGAGCGATTAGCATGTGTAATGCAGGCAAGGAAGTGTCTTTGTAAATGATACGTCTTTTTTGTAGACTCTCCTCATTCATCAGACTAGGTAAATCGTTTTTGGCTGGTTAATGTAGAGAGAAACGGTGCTGGTTATTTGGTTATCTTTTCATAGTATAGTTGCAATCGTCCGATCGTTGGCTACTCGAAATCAAATGTTTGTCTACGATTCCTTTCGTGAACCTTCCTCCAGTTTTTTTTTCATGCTTACGATTTCCACATAAGCATAAAACGACAATTTCAGTCACAGGCATTCGTTTCCGAAGCAGTTTTCATTGAAAAGGACTGGGAAAATTTCCTGGTAGCACACGCTCAATTTCGTAGTTCTCGTCGCTCAAGAGGAGTACATATCCAGTGTAGTTCGGTAGAGCCGCCCTTGTACTTGTGGAGTTAACTTTGCCTTACAATCCTCGCTGGTATTTCAATGAGTTTTCTCCAAGGGAGCACAATCTAATGGTAGTAGTTTGCGGTTTAGGTGGTATACCCCGTTTGACGATGATCATAGCGTCTACTTCTCATCCATTTCTGTCCATCTTGTAAATCCTCTCTGCTTTTGTTCCAGTCGCTTTTAACTCTGTGTTCGGACTCCGTCGTTTCCTCTGTCTCATGAACATGTTTTGCAATCATTTATTTATCCCATACAGATTTTAGCAATGTCTTAACAATGTCTTCAGATTGTTTCTTCTCGAACATTGCCTTCTGTTTTCATCAAACAGGGAGTGACCTCAACCTACGACACAGACGTGTTTCAGCCTCTACTTGAATTCGTTCAAGGCAAAGCCACAACTTCTTCGTGGACTCCACCACCCTATGGTGGTGAATTCATCCCTTTCTGTCGACAAACTCCAACCGGACTGGGCGATCAAGTGAAAATTGAAGAGGAGGGGTCTATCACAGACACATCGAAACGCAGTTTCTCCTCTCTATTCCGTAAACTGTTGGCTCCCAAACGCGCCAGTCGAGTAAGTGGTTAATCTTGTGTCCTGTTGGTTTTATTTGAATCGCCCTTTCCTTGATCTTCATCGGCGTTCTCCGTTGGATTGGATCGCTTGCCAGTTTTACACTGTAGTATTTCAAATTCAGACAAAATTGCTATCATTGGCCTCAATCTTTAAAGCTTCGTATTCTCTCTTTGAATTCCGGTTGAATATAATTAACGATTTGTTATTGATTTCTCAGTACTGGTATGCTTCATCACAACGACACTGCACTTTAACGTGGTGGCTTGCGTGCCTCCGTGACCCTTCGAGCTACATAGGATAGCTTCTCAGCCGCAGAACCAATCATGCCTGAAAAGCCAATGGTTAGAGACCAGACAATGCTTTGTTTCACAAGGCCAGCTGCTTAGGCACCTGGCTTCCTTTGAATACCCGCGTTCACCCTTAGAGAGTTTACTGCAGCAAATAAATACGGGGAGAAGCAATTTACCAATAAAAAAACCTGCTAGATGGACATGAGAGTGTGGTATCTGGGGCTTCACGACGGTGTGAAAAGTCTTCGCACTTCATTGGACAGCTACCGCCTGCCCAAGCTGGCAATCCCCCAACCAATAAGATGCCATCACGACGAGACTGCACCTTGACGTGGTGTGATGGCTTGTGCATCTCTCTGACCCAACGAGCTATACGGGATGGCTTTTGTCAAGCCGCAGGTTTAATCATGCCTGGAAGGTCCATGGGTAGAAGTCAGACGAATTCCAGTCTCCCGGTCTTCCAGGTTGGGGGTTCGACTCGAGTTGGCGTCTCAGTCGGTAAAATGGTAGAGGAGTAATTGATCCAAGTAAATTGGGCTCTACGTCGCTTTACCCACTGGCTTACGGTCAGGTTCTTGTCAGAACTAAAGGCTTTGGACGAGAACCCTAGTCGTTCTCCTGCTTAGTAGTTGGACACCCTGGCAGTACCCGTCCATCAAACTCGAATGCATACACGACCAAAAAATAATTCCATACTGCATCGGTCGTCGCTCAGGATAATCAGGACCGCGCTGCCCATTGCCTCAAGCTGATTGGGTAGTGATAAGTGGGCTACTACTCAGATATCCCAACCTTTGAATAACTCTTTGTCTTTCGTACCCAACCCTCTCCCTTTACCCTTTCTTCCAACCCGTAGCATTCCCTCAGACAACTTGTTCGTCACTTGCCAAAGTTCGTTGCCAAGCCGATCGGTAAGTAGTTGACCACAAAATAGATTGCATATTCCGAGGCCTCGTCAGCCACTGAATCTGGGGCCTTCAACGTGAGGACTCTGATGCACGTGGGTCAACAAGTGTGTCTGGCGCGTGCAATGGACTCTTTGGGAATGGATGTCGTATCGGAGACTCGAATTCAGGATCCTAGTACTATATACCACTTAAGTGCACCTCGGTTGTTTTCGAGGTTCTTCGTCCGCACGTCAGGTGATGACGAAACCCTTTCAGTAGACCAGCGTGGTGTGCGCATTGTACTGAATAATACAGCCAAAGCAGCACTGCTCGATTGGATCCCCGTTAACAGCCGCTTGTGTGCGATGCGGCTCCAAGGGTCTATCAGCGTCCGGAAGGGAAGCAACACCAAAAGGTGTTTGTTCATCATTTCAGCGTATGCTCCGATCAACTGCAGTTCTGATGCACAAAAGGACGAGTTTTATGCTAAACTCACCGAACTCATTCGGTTGAGTCGAAGCTCCAATTTAGTTGTTCTCGCAGGTGATTTTAACGCTCAAGTTGGAAAACTGAGCGGATCGGAAGCTTGTCTAGGCGGTCATTGTGCTCTGCCCTGCCAGCGAACAGATAATGGCGATCGACTTCTTCAGTTCTTCGCAGATCATCATCTGTTCCTATCCAGCACCAAATTCCGACAGCTCTCAACGGACAGCAACGTGGCGCTCCAATTTAATTGGTACGCCAACTCAGATCGATCACATAGCAGTAAGTTACCGTTGTCGTTGCTCAGTACGAAACTGCAGGTCCTATTGGATCACCTGCGTTGAATCTGATCATGATCTGGTCTCAGAAAATTTCACCAAACTCGATTCACAGATCATTGCTCATCTGACCCACCCGTTCGTGCCCGTTTTGAATCAGAACTAGTGCAAGACCTAAACGCACTGCGGGGTGGTAGGAACAACGGCTTGACCGGTGAGCGGAGTACTTTAACGAACAGTTCAGCTGACCAGGCGCTAACCAGGTTATCTCCTCTGATGTAGCTGAGGCTCCATAGGCAGTGTCATCTGAATCTCCTACTGCAGGAGAAGTTCGTTCTTGCATCCAAGCCCTGAAGAAAGGAAAAGCAACAGGGCCAGATGGGCTTCCTCTCACTCCTTTCAAAATGGGGTGCGATGACCTTGTAGACTCCATTACTGATTTAATGCGTAACACGAGCACATTCCATCATCCTGGAGCGAATCACTGATCGTTCCAATTTTTAAGAAGGGATCTGGCAATGACTGAGCGAACCATCGCGGAATAAGTTTGATCCCAATCGTCACCAAGTTACTAGCTTCCATTATACTTCGACGTCTGACACCGTTTAGGGAGACAAACATCCGCGAACAACAAGCAGNCTTCACCCTGCGTTAAGTCTTCAAGCTACACCATACGCACCGTTGATCAACGGTTGTCGTGTTCCTTGACCTCAAAGGAGCCTTCCACTCAGTTGATCGTGAATCCCTTATGGGTTCACTATTTCGCAAAGGAATGCCGCAGAAGTATGTGAATATACTGATTTCACTCTTCACTGTATTATGCTGTACAATGATGATGATGAATAGGATGCAGTCCCGTCCCCGTTCCGCTTGTTTCAATAGGTGCATGAGGCTAAGGCCAGTCCCGAATAGCAGATCGACAATCAACGCACCAGCGATCAATACACTGAACCGGAATTCAAAAACCCTGCGTGATAGGTCTCTAGAATTTTCCACATGGATGCTTTATCCAGGTGCCCGCGATGGATCCACTTCCCACTACCTTTTGGGTTTTACTTATGAGTCGAAGACTCTGTTTAGGGTTCGCCGAGAAAATTCCACAAATTACTGCTGCATTGTGGGTTAGACTTTTGAATCAAAGGCTCCGGTTAGGGATCCCAAAGAAAAAGCATTCGTCGGTGTGGGCTACAGCAAAGTATGTTGTGTCCAAAAGTGTTAGGCACCCATTTGAAAAACTTTCTTCCCACCTGTCTATTTCTTCCTCACAATCCCGAATCATCCCGGACGCATTCTGTTTACACCACCCATGGGATATCACTCACTGTTCTACCAATAAAGTCAAACAACCAGAAGTTATAAAATTTTTGAACCCAAAATTCTCTTTTCAGTTAACCGAGTTCAAAGTCCACATGCTCTACTAGAGCGGTCAACAAACTGTTCGAGCTAAAACCCCTGAAACACTCAATTTAGACGTATGTTGTGTCTCCGGAAGATACATATAAGACCGTACTTCAGTC